ATTCCAGTGTTTCTGTCCATGTCTGGAGATCTTGTTTAGATGAAAGGCAGTTGAAGGGAATTGCTGATGGACGTTGTTCTGTGCCCATTTGTCTTTTTTCTTCTTTGGAGGAAGTAGAGTGCTGCTGCTAGGAGCCAACCTGTCTTTTTTTTGTTATGAAAAGTTTTTAATAATTAAATATTTAAATACCATATTCCCCAGATCTCTGAGCAGTTGAGGGCTGTTTATCAGGTAAAACTACAGTATAGAATCTGCCTGGAGAGCTGGGTGGTGAGCTTGACTCATAAAAAGACAGAAAGAAGAAAAAACTGCTTGCAATAGAAGGTTAATGGAAGAACTGACAATAGTATAGAACAACTTAATATATTTTAAATCAGGGTTGGATTAAATATACCGTTTTGTTGTAAGAGGCTTAAAAGTACATACCAGTTTAAAACATGAAACTTATTGTTTCGTAGTCTGGAATGAGATACAATAAACAGACAATTATAACATTTAACAGTAAACATAGATACATTTAAGTTACATGTACGAACATACGCACAGAGTGAATAGGAATTGGGCAAAGTGGATGCTCTTGGAGGGCCCTACCAAAGGCATGCCACTGCACAAAACACACATGTAACAGAGTCAACAAGAGGAATTTAGAGACAAAAATGTAAGCAAAATGGGGGACCAGGCAGGGTATACTTTAGTAAAGATGGCAGGACTTGGTCACCTGACCTGGCTATCAGTTAAGATGGTGGTTAAGTCACCTAAACTCAGTCAAAATGACAGCGGTCACAAGTTGTATAGAAAAGTCAAAATTCTTGAGCTGCAGGGATTTTAAGCTAATAATAAGAGAGACCTAGTGGCATGATCCAACCGGTGGCTAAGTTGCTATGCCACAAGCCGCAGAGGGGAGCAAAAGGCTGGAATTGAAAACAGATGCCTCATGGATCTGACCAATCTTGTTGGCAGCAGTAGCAATGACAGGGACAGTTTGAAGAAACTTTCCATTTGCCTGTGCACTGAAAATAGTTAGAAAACTCCCATGAAAGTGGAGCTGGCAGGACATTGGTGGAGTGAGGGTAGGAGCTGAAGAAGTAAGGCATTAAGGCCCATGCTTTCAGGGCCTCTAAAAGGCATCCACCCCAGGTAAGGGGGATGGACATGGATGGCTTGCTACCCATAGCTGAAACCATGAAAACCTGCGAAAAATGGCAACACCACAAAGCCTATAACAAGATGTATAACAAGACACCCTAGAGGCAGGGTGTATATCAGTGTGAACACTGCAGGACCAATGGGAAGGCATCCCCTGACCCTGGGTTGGGTGCTATGGTCTGGCAGGGAGAAAAAGAGAGAGAGAAACTGAGGGACCCTGGGCCTCCAGTTGAATGCATCACACAGAGTATGCAGTGCTAGTGTAGGAGGACTGACCCTGGGTCAGTCTGGTGAGGATTTCAGCTAAGGGGAGCAATCCAGAGATGAATGTCAGTGACGGGTTCAGTCAGCAAAGGGCTCAACTGTTCATCATTGGGGGCTATCCCACTGCTTCTAGGAACACCAGAGGATTTCCGGGAGCTCACCAGTCAATTCCTCAAGTTCAGGGAAACGGTTAAGCTGACCATAATGGGGGAAACTCACCAACTGAAGCCAGTGGTGTGTGTAGAAATCATACTGTAGAAATCACATTCAGGCATATGGAACACGTGATTGTTGTGGGAAAAATTTATCCGGTTCCAGATCCCAACCCCATGAGAGGGGCTCAGGGTGGGAGAGCCTCCCGAATCTCATGGCACCAATGTAATGAAAAATTAAAAATGCTGCAGATCCCGAGTGGCTGCAGCAGGCAGTGGGTCAAAGATACCACACCATGGGTCCCCAAGCAGGGACAGGCAGTGGGCCCCAGAACAGCCAGTCCCAGGCAGGGACAGTGCATGAGACCATGCCACAGGTCTCCAAAGGTAGTTGGTCCCATCCCGGGCAGCAAGCCATGCAGCGGGTGAGAGACAGCTGGATAGGCATGCCATGAAGAGTGAGGTTATTTATTTAGTGGGTTATGGAGGGGAAAGGGAGAAGGAGAGAAGAGAAGAGAGGCATAGAGAAAAAGGGGGAGGGAGAGAGAGAGAGAGAGAGAGAGAGAGAGGTGAGAATGGAAGCTGCCTCTTCGAGAGGGAGACGGAAAAGAGGAAGAGACTTAGGCTGCAAGCAAGAAAGAAGAAGATCTTCCTGCCTCAGCAGATGGGGGAGAGAGTGGGTGTGGCTTGTCTCTTAAAGAGACAGGACAGACCATTACAACTTCTTTTAAAGATTTTCTTTCTCAAGCATGTGCCTCTATATGTGCCTGTGTGTGGATGTGTGCATAGGAGTGCAAATGCCCATGGAAGCTAGAAAAGGGTATTGGGTTTCCCGGACCTGGAGTTACCGGCAGATTTGAACCACTCAACATGGGTTCTGAGAGCCAAACTTGGATCCTCTTCAAGTGTGGCGCACGCACCTAACTGCTGAAGCAGCCCCAGAGTCCTCAGATCTTAACCACAGTGACTCTACTACCCTGCCATTCTGCATTTTCTTTATTCTTACAGGCACTTGGAATTCATCTGCAGGTGACAGCTATTTCATCTCTCTCACTTACAGTGTATTTGTTTATTTTCCTCAGATCCAGCTGACAGGTTTTAAAAATTATTTTGGCTGTTCCTAAAACCAAATGTCCCCTCCCTTGGTAACTTGTACTGTTTCAGCTTTTGAAGTTGGGATTCTCCCAGCTTAGGTTTTTATACCATTTTCACCTGACCTCTGGTTCTTGTTTTGTTGTTGTTGTTGCTGTTGCTTTTGTTTGCTTGTTTGTTTGTTTGTTTGTTTTTTAAGTAACACCTAAGTCTTGTGTAGTGTCCCAGGCTATTATGTCCCATCTCAAAGTCCTGGAATCAATCAAATGCTTCTCCCAGGAACTCTGATTTCCTTTATTGAGAGTTTGCAAATCAAGGTCTGGGAACTTATTAGTATTAGTATTAGTATTAGTATTAGTATTAGTATTATTGTAAAGCAACTTAGAGTCAGAGCTTCAGGATGCATCTGTGTACAGACACTTGTGTAGGTACAAATATAAGTCTGTGGATCTATTTTGAAGACAAGAGCCTATATTGACAGCTCTAATTAAAATCAATTTCCACAAGGTTCTTTTGAATAGAAGCATCCATTTTCTTTTTTGTTACTTCTTCATTCTAAAATATGTTTGATCTGACTTTTTCAAGGACAAGTTTGTCCCTTTGTGGATTTAGACACTCAGATCTCAGGTCACTGCTATTCTGCTATTCCTGTTTTTGGATTGATGTTTGAGACCTGAAGAGTCACTTCCTGAGCTTCATTTCCTTCCCTTGGCTGTGTCTTTTTCTTCTTTCTACTGGGATACTTGAACATTTTTATTTTTATTATTTCATTTAATCTCCATAATGCATTGTTATCATTTCTTCTTTTCAAAAGTAATATTAGTGGTTCCCACTAAGGATTTGTAAGGAAAATAAGTGTTGCAGTGGTTTGAATAAGAATGTCCTCATGGGCTCAGATATTTGAATACTTGGTCCGCAGTTGGCAACACCCAATGGGGAGGTTGAAAAGACACAGCCTGGCGAGAGGAAGTGACTCACTTGGGGATGGCTTTGAGCTCTCTCTCGACTTCACACTTGGGGTTGAGGATGTTTTCTCTCAACTTTCCACTGCTGATGGTATGCCGCCATTCCTTCCTCCTACAATGGCCTTTTAGGCCTCTGAATCCCTAACTAAAATAAACTTTTTTGCATGAGTTGATTTTGTGGTGTGGACTTTTTTAAGAAGCATGATTCTCTGCTTCAGCTACTGGAAAAGAATGAAGGTTCTGGGTTACATCACATTTCAACATTTCAGAAGAGACAGAACCTGGCTTCATGGTGCAGGACTATAATCTCAAGTACTTAGGAGACTGAGGCGAGAGGATCACAAAATCAAAGTGAGCCTGGACTATATAGAGAGTTAATTCAAAGCCAACGTAAGCAATGCAGCATTGTATGAAAACAAATAGACCACTTGCCCAGCATGTACAAGGCTCTGTGCTTAATCCCTAACATTGAATCAAAGCAGCAAAAAAGAGAGAGAAATTGGTAGAAGACAGAAAGGAAAGGAGGCAAGCTAGGGGGAGGCAGGGCAGGGAGGGCAGGGAGAGCAGGGCAGGGCATGGAAGGAGAAGCAAGTTAGGGAGGGCAAGGAGGGCAGGGTGGGGCATGGAGGGAGAGGCAGGGCAGGGTGCAGAGGGCAGGGCAGAGAGGGCAGAGTGGGAGGAAATCCATCTTCTGAACAATCCGTACAAGAAAACTAAATCTGATCATTGCATAGTTGCCATTGATCAGGAAGATTCTATCTTTGTAAACCCATGCCCAGGATCATTGCTGATGTATCCGGTCCCAGACTCGAGAGTACAGCTAGACACTGGCTGCCTAGGGCCATGGAAAGGCAGCCTGATGTCCATCAGAAGAGACTAGAAAGCTGCTAAGTATACTATATATATACTATACTCAGCACATCACTTCCAGCCTCCTCTGCTTATAAAGGACATAAAAAAGCAAAGCAGATGAACACAGGTGTACTGAACATTGGGGGAACCTGAATCTTGGCTGCTGACCAAGAAAGAGCTCTGAGAACCCAGCATATGTATGCCAACAGTCCTGCATGCCACAGTCACGAAAGCATCAGGCATAAAGAACACATCGTCTATCACATAACACTTTACATATGCAGCCACACAGCTGGTCATCATGGGAGGCAGCTTCTGTTCAGCTCAATTCTGTTCTCGGCCCTAGGAAAGATACCATTTCCTTTGAAAGAGCACGGCGTAATACTGCCATCTGCCACCTCCGAGCCACAACTTCAGGAAGGTGCTGGAGCTGTTCCAGGGTGACCTGCTAGCCTGTGGTTCTGGGTTTGTTTGTTTTTTTTTTTTAATGAACATGTGACTCACAGCTGATTCTTGTATTTCCTGACAGGTGAGAAGACGTGGCAGTTGGCAGTTAGGTGAGGAACCAACAGAAATCTACAGCATCTGGAGCTTCTAGGGCATGGTTCTGAAGTGGGTGTCCTTGCTGAATATCATCAGGTGCACTGCAGTGTGGTAAGTGGAATGTGACCATGAACTCTGACATGTCAGCTCATACCTGATTGATGCCACGATGTGACCTCATTGAATGAATCACAGAACTCCCGTAGACCACAAGTACAAAAAGCTTCATGGGTAACTCTGGGAAAAATCTGGTTCAAGGTCCAGAGGGTGCATCTGTGGAAGACTTTGTTGTTGGCAGCACAGAACATCCCTTGGCAAGAGACAAGTACAATATTTTTCTTGATTAGTGAGCATTTAAATAATATGCTACTTCCTAGGTGACATAAGGTTTTCAAGATAGTTTTCTTGACTGGCCCTGTTGCATTCTCTGGGCCTTTGCTGTTATGCATTTGACTTTCATATGCGCTCAGTGCACTGGGCAGCATCCGCCGTATTTGCTGGATAAAACTGTTTATCTTGTGGAGGAATTGAAAGTGCAGGGCAGTCAATTCTACTTCACTTCCATAATCACATTTCTTTGTACAGAATTAAGTTGACTGCTGGTTTCATATTCCTCCATGATAAAGAACTCCTGGTAAAGAATTATGTCTTTGCTTATCTTAAAAAGAAAACATTTTGGGCTGGAGAGATGGCTCAGTCGTTAAAGGCAAGACTCACAACCAAAAATATAAGGAAACATTATTACTCAATTTTTAAAATATTATTAGCAATTTTAAAAGTCATATTGCTAAGGGTCTGAATCTCAGTGTTTTTTTTTTTAAGTTTTGTAAGAATTGTGTCTGTCTGTTAGCATGGTTCCTGGCAGTCTGTCATAATCCTTATTATAACTAATTTGACCTTCTTCTCTGGTTGTCTTTGGAAATTGCCTCTTTGTCTTTGATTTTCAATAGTTTGCATGTTCACCTTTCTGCAATTATTTTGAAATGAGGTTTCTCTGTGTAGCCCTGGCTATCCTGGAACTTGCAACATAGGCCAGACTAGCCACAAACTTAGAGATCCACCTGACTCAGCCTCCCAAGTGCCTGAATTAAAAGTATGTGCTTACCGTGCACAGCCAGTCTATTTTTTTTTTGCTATGGACTTTGCCATATAATAATAGAAATTTTTGAAAGTTTTCCTGTTGGAAAATTCCCATATCCATGCCATCTATGAACTTGCTATATGCCCCACCCCATATAAATGTATCATTTTGTCCTCTACCTTTCAACAAGCTTCATTTTTTTTGGTTGAAATTGTATATTTTGTACATAATAGTACAGATTTGAGTAAGTTACTACTTTGTGATCATAGAACATTCTTCCTCTCTCTTTTTCTCTCTCTGTTTCCTTCCTTCCTTGGCTTCTTCCTTCTGGCCCATCACCATGCCATCTTGTAGTACCTTATCCCTCCTGCTCTGATTTTTAGCTACCCTCATCACAAAGCTTGGTACATTTTTGTGTGTGCATGTGTGTGTGTGCACGCATGTGCACATGTGTACACCCATACATACATATGTGCACAGTGCATGTGTAAAGGTCAGAGGGCAACATTTAGGAGCTGGTTCTCTCCTTCCATCTGGGGATTGAATGAGGGTTGGCAGCCTTGGTCACAGGTGCTTTACAGGCAGATCTCTATGAGTTCAAGGCCAGCTGGTTTACAAGAGATAGTTGCAGGACAGTCAAAAAAATCCTGTCTCAAAAAACTATAAAAGAGAAGAAAGAGTTGCCATAGTCATGGTGTCACTTCACAGCAATAAACCGTAAGACAAAGGTCATTCATTTTCAATGCCAGAAAACTTCTGACTGCACAGATAGAGCAAAAGTCACCAGGCTAGAGAGCATGTCCTTTCCAGCCTTCTATCCATTTCATCCTCCTAGAGGAATGAACCAGCTGGTCAGTGGTGGCACACACCTTTAATCCCAGTACTCAGGAGGTAGAAGAAGGAGGAGTTTGAGGCCAACCTAGACTACAGAAAGAGATGCAGAACAGCCCCAGCTAAACAAAGAAACCCTGTGTTGGGGGGGAGGAAGAACCATGTGTGCTTAAAATTCCAGGTTCCCTAGTGCATGTGTATGAGCACAAAGATCTCCAAGCCTCCTACAGAGATCTACCAGCCAAATGCTAGGATTACCCAGCTTTTGCTTGCTCTTTTATTTTGTTTTGCTTTGTTGTTTTGGGTTATAGTTGTTAATAAGAGTCTTTGACTATCAGTCCAAGGTATCAGGAAGAAATTATAAAGTAAAAAATAATTCTACAGCTCTATTAACCTTTACAATTGAAGACTCAGAGCCCAAACTGTGTTTTTACTTGCACCTTCCTGGACACAGCTTATCCTTCAACAAGAAGCAGTGTTTAAGAATCTTCTTGCCTCGTGCTCTGGTCAAAGTGATGCCCATGGTTCCATCTCCAAAACCTAGGGCCTTCTGACCTACTTAGCTTTGTCACCTCAACACAGCCTGGAGTCATCTTAGAGAAAAGTTCCCAATGAGAGACTGATATTAGATCAACAGATCAGATTGTAGGCATGTCTATGGGGGAATTGTGTTATTAACTGATATTGGAGGGCCCAGTCTACTTTGGGGCACCCATATCTAGGCAGGAGGTCCTGGGAAGTATAATAAAGCAACCTAAGAAGAGAAGAAAGGAGCCAGAGAGTGAGCCCATAAGCAGTGTTCTTCAATGATTCCTGTCTCCAGGCTTCTTCCTTGAGTTTCTTTGATGAGTTTCCTCTGTGATGAACTATGACCTACAAGTATAAGGGGAAACAGTCCCTGCCCTATCCAGGATTGCTTTCAATTGGAGCATTTTATAATAGCAACAGTATAAAACTAGAATACCCTCCAAGTTCTTAGATATTGCCTAGAATAGAGTGTAGACAGAGGCTGTTTATTTGTTCCTGGCTGCCTAGACAAAACATAATCACACAGAAACTATGTTAATTGCAACACTGCATGGCCAACGACTCTAGAGTATTCCTAGCTAGCTCTTACATCTTGAATTAACACATTTCTATTATTTTATATTTTACCACAAGGCTCGTGGTTTACTGGTAAGGTTCCAGGGCATCTGTCTCCTTCAGCAGCTACATGGCATCTCTCTAACTCTGCCCCCCTTTCTCCTTTATCTCTGCTCAGAATTCCAGCTTTGCCCTATTCTGCACTGCCATAGGCCCAAAGAAGATTCTTAGATTCTTTATTAACTAATGGCAATAAAACACATTCACAGCATACAGAAGGGAATTCCACATCAATAGAGGTCTTTCTAGAATATGACAACAGAGGATATTTCCTTTAGATAAAGTCTACACCCCATAAATAAGGGTTAGATTGCATCAGGGCTTCAAAAAGGCAGTTACACAATAATTCATCATCAGTACTTTCCAAGACAGTGTTTGCCCTATTGCAAATAACACAAGTCTCCGACATCAATGGCCCAGCCCCAGACAGGGTGGATAAGCCTAACCCATGGGTCTTTATAGTCTGCAACATCCAGAGCTGCCTGGGCAGTCAGGCCTGCATTTCTTCTTTCTGCTAGGTAAATCTTCAAGTCTAATCATCCATGAGCAGCCACCTAAACAGTAAGAGAAACACCCCCCCCCTGCCTTCAGGGTTCTTTGAAGGGCAGCAGTAATAATTTGCACAAAAGAAGAGATTCAAGTCCACATTGAGAATCAGACAAGATTGCCTCCAGAGAAGTAATAAGTCCAGTGGGGGAACACTGCACTTTAAACTGTGCATCCTCTTCTATTCCAGAATGGGATGCTTGTCGCTAATGTCTGCACCCAAGAGATTTTACATCACCTATAGTTTCTTCAAGCAAAGAAGCTTGCATTTACTTTGTCACTAGAAGATCCTTGGGGACGGAGGAGTTCCAGTCATTTCCCCAAGGACAAGACTTCTTAGAAATTCTAAAACTAAATCCCTCCTCTTCTATCTTGGGGATAAAAATCACAGTTGGACAAACCTGTGCACATAAAGTTTGAGCCAAAGTTGACCAGATGGATAGGTGCTCCTACTCACCTCCTGTGGTGCAGAATCCATTAGAGATGTTTAAGACATCAACCACATCGCTATCTGAATGAACAGCTCTGTCTACCCGACTAGAAGGTGAAGAGCCCTTTCCAAAATAAGAGAAAACACAGGACACATTCTGCTAGTGTTGGAATTTCTGAAGTTCAGTGAGTTCAAATAAAAGGCACATAGACATCTGTCTTCATGCCTCATTTTCATGGGTATAGATGGAAACTGGTCATTGTTTTCCCAGATGCCCAGACCCGAATAATCACACAGAAACTATATTAATTACAACACTGTTTGGCCTGTGACTCAGGCATATTTCTTATATCATGAATTAACCCATTTCTATTAATCTATGTATCACCACAAGGCTGTGACCTAACGGTAAAGTTTCTGGGTGTCTTTCTCCTCCGGCAGCCACATAGTGTCTCCTTGATTCTACCTACTCTCTCTCTCTATCTCTGTTCTGATTTTCTGTCTGGCTTTACTCTGTTAAGCTATTGGCCCAAACAGCTTTATTCATCAACCAATAAAAATGACACATATACAGAAGGATATCCCACATCATCTTCCCTTATTAAAATTACAAATGCAAAACAGTTATCAAGCAAGAATTATAGTTATAATACTTAGTCCATTTACATTTGGCAAATTAAGGAAAATACTCTGTCATCCATCCAGTCTTTGTAAATCTAAAGTTTTATATCTAGTTTATCCTTTATCATAACTAAGGAAAGCTATAACTGTCTTCAACTCTTCAAAGACCCCAGAAGGATATACCTAAGTACACAGGAAGTGTATTATGAACAACTTACAAAGCTCTAAAATTGACAATGCGACCATGGGGAGGGGGATGGGGGAAGACCACAAAGGGACCTTCTGGGGAGCAGTTTAAATAGACTGGGGAAGTTGCCCTGATCTCCTTTGGAGAAGGGTCAAGGTTTGGCAGGCTGACTTGACCCTTCTCGGGGGAGGAGTCAAGGTTTGATGGGCACAGGGGTGGGACCTCCAAAGATGGAGGCCAGAGACCGAGATTTACATAAATGACTATTAATCTGTAATTTTTAATTATACATTACATCTTTAAATGAGCTACACAAACACAATATCTTAAATAAGAGCAGAAATATATATACACAGTGTAACAAAATCAACCTTAAATTTGTATCAATAGGCCAAGATCCATACCAATACTAAGTATTTATATTATATCCTTCTTATATCTTTAAGAAATTGACTGTGACCATTATTATAAACAACCCTTTTAAAATGAAAATAAACATCTATAAACAATCATTTTGGGAACTGGGCATAGTTTTCTCCAAACTGCTTTCTGGTGTTTGTTGGGTGAAGTATTTTTAGAGGTTCACAGAGACTTTTTGGGGAATCTAGTTCTATCAAACCACATTAGCCTAGAAGGAATTCACAGGTTCCCATGCTCTGTGGAAACAAAAGCAGAACCTCTTTTCCAAAGCAACATAGCCTTAGTAGACTCAAATTTTGAAGTCAAATTACCTTTAAAATATATATGTTGGTTTAGCTTAGAAACCTCCAAAAACAAATGTCTCTCTGCAGTCAAAAATTTCAAAGAAAATGCACTAATATGCATAATCTAGACTCTCTGTGTGTTTTCCATCTTTATGCAGCTTATTTTTTTCTTACTCCTTTAATCTATGACTGTCTGTACTCTGTAAAATTACTTTTACTGTCTCTTTAAAGAATTTACTTCTTTTTATAACTGTCTATACTCTTTCTTCTCTCTCCCAAGCCTATGTACATTTTTTTAACACACTGTGTCTCGTTTAGAGGTCTTTTATGTCTGAGTCTGTCCTATTGTGTATCTGAAATCCTTTTCTGACAAGAAGCATTATAAAATGGTAAGCAGTGTGTTTGCAGCTGGTTTTGTATAATTTTGAACTTTACACATTTGAAAATCTGCCCAAGATCTGTGAAAGACAGTAACAAGTCTTCTCCCTAGACTCCCAGCATTTCTGTATTAGCTATTTTGGCTGCTGTGACAAGATACCTGACTCCAACAACTCAAAGGATGAAAGGTGTCTTTTAGCACATTGGTTCATGTTCACATGGCTCCATATATGAGGCATGAAGACACAGGAGTTTCTTCATGGCTTACAGGAAGCAGAGAAAAGGAGGGTTTACATGGGAGGAGCTAGGGCAAGACATAGTCATAAGGATGCAGAGATAGAGAGACTTTTAAGCATAATGGCAGTTACTAAGCAGTTCCTCAGAGCTACCTGAACTTGGACACGTCACATACATTTGAATGTAGAAAATATTCTGATAGTCAGAGACCATGAAAACAGGAACCTGTGCCTCACCCTGTTTTAGACCTCACTGGGTGACCTTGGTAAATGATTTAAACTCACTCTTTACCCTCACTTCACACTTCACAAAGCCAGGAAGATCTAGTTTGAATGTTTCATGAAAAGATGCCAATTCACATAAAGTATCAATGTCTACATGGAGAGAGCTCATTAAAATCTTTAAATCTATTGACTCAGAGAGGCTATAATCTTGGGAAGTTGCTGCCACCTGCATTCCCAGAGACAGCAAAACCAAATCTATCCCAAATATTTTTCTCACCCAAGACACTCCATTAGAACAATTCTTCACATTTTTTTAAAGATTTATTTATTTATTATGTATACAGTATTCTCAGTCCTCTGCCTGCAGGCCAGAAGAGGGCACCAGATCTCATTACAGATGGTTGTAAGCCACCATGTGGTTGCTGGGAATTGAACTCAGGACCTTTGGAAGAGCAGGCGGTGCTCTTAACCACTGAGCCAGCTCTCCAGCCCCCCCTTTTTTAAAATATTTATTTATTTATTTATTATGTATACAATATTCTGTCTGTGTGTATGCCTGCAGGCCAGAAGAGGGCACCAGACCCCATTACAGATGGTTGTGAGCCACCATGTGGTTGCTGGGAATTGAATTCAGGACCTTTGGAAGAGCAGGCAATGCTCTTAACCTCTGAGCCATCTCTCCAGTCTAGAACAATTCTTATAGACTCCATTTGTGTGATCCAGACCCAGTCACATAAAGTTAGAACAGTTTTTCTCAAAAGTCATGGTATGGAAACAAAGTATTACTATGACCGGTTTGATAGAACATGACTAACAATGCTAAAAAGTCAGGATTTTCTTCCTGAAAGAGGATTTGAGTCTAGCTTGTCTGCTTTTATGTTTTCGTTTGTTTGTTGCTGCTGTTGTTTTTAAGATTAGATGGTGAAAGCAAGAAGATCTGGAGTCTGAGGCTATCCAGGGCTACATGAAAGTCTATGAAAAACAGCAAGAAGATGGAAAGGTTGGTGATGTATTCAGACACACAGAAACTCTTAGAAAGGACAACGTAAACAAGACTTGTGAAGAGGGCCCCACGGTTCCAACTGCTGTTTCCTGTGGGCTCAATGCATGTATCTGAGGCACCTACTCTTTCTGGCCCTATTTCTATCAGAACAAGAACACAAATCCCAAGAGGCTTCAAACCTGTGACTCTCATCCTGTTAGTCTGAGATATTGTAATCCTTATTAATGTTCTTCTCTTAACCACATCCGATGTGGTTTCCCTTCAGTTCCCATTTTACACAGTGTACTGTCCACAGAGGAATGTGCATCTTAATCTCAGTTACTGGGTCTTCACAGCAAGGCTCAGATAGAAACTCACAAGTCAGTCCCCATGGGAGTACTTACCGTCTGCTTGTCAGACTTAGACTTCCAGTGTCCCCCTCCATTACAATCATATTTCTGTACTATGCAAAGTATTCTGTCCCTCATTTCAACCTCTGCTTGACCTGGTCACTGCTGTTTTATCATCCAGACTCTTCCTTAGGGTGAAGGGCTTAAATCCCACTGAAAAGTAGTTTCTACCCTATGCCCCACAACTTGTATCTGTGATGTGTTTTGGTGCAGGAAGGCCGCACAGTGGTAGTACCCTACTGGCCACAGAAGGAACCTGCCCATCAAGCTCACCCAGTTCTTAGAAATGAGACTAAACCGGGCCTTTATATTAAAGGTATGAAAACCAAGAATAGAGGGGTAAGGGGCAATATTTGTTCTCGGGTGCTAAATCCTTTTATGTATAAACTAGGAATCCAGAGCAAAGAGTGATTCTAAGAAGTTTTGAGGGGTATAAAGTTTTATAAGGGTGGTGTTCAAACAAGATGATTTGTCTTTTCTTACATTCATGAGCTAATGTCCAGAATCTCTACTATTAAACAGTAACTCCGCCCAGGTAATCTAACCAGAAAAAGGTAGCTCAGGCTTCAGGTCAAAGATGAATGTTCAGATTAACAGAAGGAAACAATGGCTAAGGCTTCAAGATTTCTTTTTTAAGTATATAGATGTGAGTTTTAAAGTAATTCTTTTTATAGTTGAGAGGTGCTACAAGAAAAGGACCACATGAAAGTCGGTGGACCAACGTCTATTAGACGTTCTCATGGTTCTTAGAGGCCACTGTTTGCGAAGTGTTTTGCCTGACCTTTGTAGTTAAGAGGAAAGGAAAGAGAACCTGCGAAGTGGCGCAGCCTGGAAGAGTCACGCAGATGTAAGTGTCCTGCCTACTTCAGGTTCTCAGTGCCTTAGCTGCCGGTGGGCTCCAAGCTGAGAGCTAAGGGCATGACAGCAGCCGGGGGAGAACTGATATCTTAACCGAGGGTGCTATGGTGAACAGGCTACACCTTCGTGTGCTTGCCTTTCTCTTTCGCTTTGTGATGCTTGCTTTCCTCTGATTGTCTCGTAGGATTCGAACCATGAAAGCGATGACCAGTCGTAAGTCACTGTGGGTGCTGCTGTTGATAGTTATCTTCTGGGTCTCTTTTACAGTTTTCAGAAACCCATCGAAGGTAGGATTTTCTCTCCTTTCCTGTTTTACTGGATACTATGTGCCTAGGAAAATGTAAGCTGCAAAGACCCACGAATTGCAATGGAGATGGGGTGTGCTCAATATGGCTTACCATGCAGTGTTAGTGAACCCATGTAGCTGACAATTGTTAAACATGGCAACAAGTGAAGAATGTGCCCAAACCTTTCACAGATAAGCTGGGACCCAGAGCAGAGGGTGATTCTCAGAGATGGAAAATCACGAGGGATGGCAAGCTTTATGTTCACATGCGTGCTTACACACAGACTTCATTCTGTACTGCTTGCGGTTAAGTGCAGCTATTGTTGTGCCTGGCCTGCAGCCTGTGATTGCACCTGCCTTAAGGGAGCATCTGTAGGAGAGAATACATTCATGTCTATGCACTGAAACGGACCTGCCTTTTAAAAACCATGGACCATGTCGAATGGAAACCATTTCCTTCCTCCAGTACCAAGCTGTCTAAATAGCTATTCAAACTTTTCAATGTTGTTTCTGCCGCTGCAGATTTTAAGGCTTCCATTTTATTTTGTTGGCATTGGCTTGTCCTTGTTTGTTTTCTCTGTTCCATTGGTGGCTTCTCTGCTTTGGAGTGGGGCTTTTGGTGGTGCTGGTGGTGATGAGGATTAGTTGCCTTTAAGTGTTTGTTTGCTAGAATTCTGTTTTTGTGATTTCGATACACGGTTTCACTCTGTAGCACAGGTTAGCCCTTCTCTTAATATACAGTTCAGGCTCGGGTTCAAACTAGCAGCTGCCTTGATTTGGGTTTCATTGCTCTTAGAGAGCTGTTTTTATTATTATTATTATTATTATTATTATTATTATTATTATTATTATTATTATTATCTACATAAGGATTGGGTTCGTGCAAGCCGCTTTGCTTTTGCTGAAAATTCTAATTAGTGATTGAGAGCAGTGATCCATCTTACTGTCACTTTATTTGATGTGTTAGGATATTTTCAAACATCTTTTCAAGTAATAGAAATAGTCCCACCTGCCTTGCGTCCCGTGCCTTTCTAATGTTTCCCATGTGTTCAAGTTAGGGTTTCTATGGCTGGGATGAAACACCATGAACAAAAGCAACTTAGGGAGGAAAGGGTTTGTTTGGCTTACACTCCACATTGAAGGAAGTCAGGATGGAACTCAAACAGGGCAGGAACCTGGAAGCAGATTCAGAAGCCACAGAGGGGTGCTGCTCCCTGGCTTCCTCCTCATGGCTTGCTCAGCCTGCTTCCTTATAGCACCCAGGGCCACTGTCCAGGGATGGCACCACCCACATTGGCCTGGACCCTTGCACATCAATCACTAATTAAGAAAATGCCCTACTGATGCATGTTCAGCCCAATCTTATGGAGGCAATTTTCTCAATTGAGATAACTATAGCTTGTGTCAAGCTGACATAAAAGTAGTCAGTATACCATGTTATTCCATAATCTTCACAATAACCATTCAAGAAGCATAATTATGACCTGATAGGCAGATGCTAAAACTGATTTACAGTTATGTGCATGCAGAACCCATAGTGGCCAGAAGATGGTGTCGGATCTCCTAGAGCTGGAGTTACAGGTGGTTGTTTGCCACTGGCAACTGAACTCGGGTTCTCTTTAGGAGCAGCAAACACTGTTCACTACTCAGCCTTCTCTCCACCCCCATATCACCGCCATGACGGTCCTAGCTCTGGCTAATTGAGGATGAATGGGTATCCCAAAAAGAAGCCATTGAACTCCCAATAGATCAGCCCCACTGTCTCAGTGGGTGGGTGCACCCCTCGTGGTCCTGACTTCCTTGCTCATGTTCTCCCTCCTTCTGCTCCTCATTTGGACCTTGGGAGCTCTGTTCAATGCTCCGATGTGGGTCTCTGTCTCTGTCTCCATCTATCGCCAGATGAAGGTTCTATGGTGATATGCAAGATATTCATCAGTAGGGTAGGGCCATTTCAGGTTCCCTCTCCTCAGCTGCCCAAGGAACTAACTGGGGACATCTATTGGGAGCTCATCAAGGCCAGCTGGACTGGGACTGAAAAAGCATGGGATAAAACCGGACTCACTGAACATGGCGGACAATGAGGGCTGATGAGAAGCCAAGGACAATGGCACTGGGCTTTGATCCTACTGCATGTACTAGCTTTGTGGGAGCCTAGCCTGTTTGGATGCTCACCTTCCTAGACCTGGATGGAGAGGGATGGACCTTGGACTTCCCACAGGGCAGGGAACCCTGACAGCTCTTCGGATTGGAGAGGGAGGGAGAGAGGAGTGGGGGGAGGAGGGGAGAATGGGAGGCAGGGAGGAGGCAGAAATTTTTTCAATTAAAAAAATATATCAAAAAAAAGAAGCCGTTGAAAACTAGAGTTATACAGACAGTTTAAACCAAGATGTCTGTGTGTGAAACACACGTTACCACAAAAATCTAAGAGTAACATGATTTCTATGTCTCTCGTTGTTCTAAAAAAAAGACAAAAGTGGTTAACTTGCCAAAACTCCTTACATTAAAGAGCATCTTTTTCTTTCTTCTCTACTCTATTTCTTGCCCATTCAGATATGGGCTCCATTCAAGTTGCCTGTGTCCTTCAGTGGCTGGAACTTGGTCATGAAATCCTCGTGTCCTGCAGTGCTTCCGAACCCACCAGTCTCACCGAAAGAGACAGAGCTGAGAGTCCGGGAGGTCCTGGAGAAGCTAGATCAGCAGATCCCTCCCAGACCCTTCACCCACCTCAACACCACCACCAGCGCCACACACAGCACGGCCACCATCCTCAACCCTCGAGACACATACTGCACGGGGGACAAACTGGAGGTGCTGCTGGAAGCTAGGGACTACCTGGGACGCAGGAAGGAGTATGGAGGGGACTTCCTGAGGGCCAGGATATCCTCCCCAGCCCTGAAGGCAGGAGCTTCTGGAAAGGTGACAGACTTCAACAATGGCACCTACCTGGTCAGCTTCACTCTGTTCTGGGAGGGTCAGGTGGCCCTGTCTATCCTGCTCATCCATCCCAGTGAAGGGGTGTCAGCCCTCTGGAGGGCACGGAAACAGGGCTACGACAGAATCGTCTTCACTGGCCTGTTCATCAGTGGAACCTCTCAGGTCCGCACCGATTGTGCCTTGGTTCTAAACTCAAGTGCCGAGTTGTGCCAATATCTGGATGCCCAGGACCAAGAAGCTTTCTACTGTGAGAAGCCTCCGAATGTTCCCTGTGCCGCCCTCACCCACATGCATTCAAAGAACAAGGAAGTTTCCTATCTTAGGCAGCAAGAGAGGCGCCTCTTTGAACGGTAAATAATAATTGTTTCACACGTCCGGGGGAAGGTTGGTAATCTAGCCTGCAGGATGGATTCTAAGCACATTAACTCACAGGCTACAAGAAGAGTCCTTTGAGAAGGGACCTATGAATTCTTTTGAGGATAGTGTTCATTGTCCAGGAGTCCTTGAACTTCTATAATAAGTAATCCTTATCAATGAACCCCCAAAAACACAGACTGAGTAAAAACTGAAAGAATGAAATATATGTATGTGTATTCTAATATTTTTTTTTCTGGGTCTCAATACACATACCTTCTCAGTTCCTGTCTCCCATGGACTAGGAAACAAATAGATGGAAAATAAATTCTAGCCAGGGAGATGAGATTCTCAATGAGAACTAACAGAAGGACTGGTCAGTCTGAGTTCTGGGACTTTGCTGAAGTCGAGACCACTGCAGATTAATTTCTGTATCTGTCTCTTTAAGGTCAAATATAGGTGTGGAGATAATGGGAAAACCCAATGTGATTAGTGTCTCCAAATGCAACAGTAAGTGGGTCTGTGTTTGGTGGGTGGTGCTTAACCCTGGACCCATTTAAAGGTCCTGCTCTGTTTGCTGGACTTGGCTGCAGTCTCGGTTTTTTTTAAAAGCGGGCCAAGGCACAAAGTCCATGAGTGAATGAATGGTTGTAATCACTGGGATCTTACACGCGTGCCCTGGCGACCACATATCTCACTAATCTACTTCTCGGGTAGAAGGTCTCCTGTTCATCTTACACGAAAGCCTACAAAGGTCAAAACTTTCTCCCGCGTGTCTGCCTAGCTCTCCTCCCTCCCATCCTCACAGCCTCCCTAGAATTCTCACTCACAAATCTCCACTATACCATCTAGGAGTCAATTTACTACAATTCTCTCTTGGTTTTTGGAACCTTTTTTTTTTTTACAAAGAACTTCCACATACACATTCACTAAGGTTTTTTTTTGTTTTTCTTTTTTTTATTGGTTTTATTGAGCTATACATTTTTCTCTGCTCCCCTCTTTTCCTCTCCTCTCCCCTTCAACCCTCTCCCATGGTCCCCATGGTCCCCATTTACTCAAGGAGATCTTGTCTTTTTCTACTTCCCACGTAGATTAGATCCATGTATGTCTCTCTTGGGGTTCTCATTGTTGTCTAGGTTCTCTGGGATTGGCATTCACTAGTTTTTCTCTCTCTTTCTTTCCTTTGAAAAAAAAAAAAGAAGCTCTGAACAGCTAGCTCACAAACACCACCTAAAACAGTATCTTTGCCTTTCTGAATGCACCATGAAAAGCTTGCTAATTGCTAAGACAGTTTTCCGCCTAGAAGGAAAACCACGTTTCTGATTGCTGATGTGATATGCAGTGCTTCCGCAGCAGGCGCAGAGCCCTAGGCTTGACCCCCAGCACCACAAAAATACACAACCATGATTTCCAAACTCTGGGAATAGAGGCAGGAAGATGAGGAGTTTAAGGCCATCCTCAGCTACACAGCAAGTGGAAGGCAAGCCTAGGCTACCTTAGACCCTGTCTCAAAGACAGAAACAGACTTAGAGCAGAAGAGGGAGAGAAATAGTATTTCTTTGGCCCCATATATATACACAAGTAACTTTAAAGTATCTGTAAAAATATTAATTTACCCTTTTGGGGTGGTGAGTAACTGTGACCCCAAACCTGCTGCCTCACCACCCCAGCTTACCTCCAGGTCTCCTCCTTACCCAGAGACTAAGGTTGAACATCTGGCTTATCTTGGACCTCCAGGCCTCTCTCAATACAAACTGGCCAATTTCTAAGCCAAGTTCACCCTGACTTTATCTCAAAGAGTTCACACTTTAATGGTGACATTGAAGACTCTGTGAGAGCATGTGACAAGCTCAGGAGCCAAGTGGCTTGAAACAGTCAGATGAAAGAGCTCTTGCCCTTTATAAGAACTGATGAGGCTGGTCTCACGGCAAGGCTAACAAATAGCCACATTTTACTTGAAGGCCTTTTTTATTTTAAAAAAATAAAAATATTATTTTAAAAATGTATTTTAAACATTTAAAAATATTTAAAAATATTTTAAAATATTATTATTTTTTAAAAAAAACCCAAATGGAAAAACCCAAAGTTTTTTCATAATAACCACTAGTAGGCATCACTTAGGAAACTCACACCAGAGTAAAGTTTTACTGAGAACACGTGTCCCATTATAAAGATACTTTAATAAGCGTCTTTTTATTGCCACCCCACCTACACGCCTGTCTAGAGGGTTCTTTGGGAACTATGGAAGGCTCTTAAACACAGGTCAGTAGAATGCTGTTGTATCTCGCTGATTCCTTGGCAGAAGAAGCTGTTCCAGCAAAAGAGAGGTGCAAGCTCGGGATGGTACCTGCAATCCCCAGTGGGCATGTCTGGAAAAACACATGGAATCCAGCTTCCTGTAGTTTGGCTCCAATCAAAATGAAAGACTGCCTGAGAGGAAAATTCATCCATCTGATGGGTGATTCCACAATCCGCCAGTGGATGGAATACTTCAAAAGCAAAATCAACAGTATGTCTCAGTATTCGCTAGTCATGTCTCTTTCGGAAACTGTGTTTTCATTTCAAGGAAGAAGAGTACAAGAAATTCCTTCCTCCTCTACCATAGTTCTATAGTTCCTAATTCCAAACCACCAGCGTTATTCACAAAATGTTACTAGCAGTCCCTAGAACTGTGGTTCTCAACCTGTGGGTCATGACCCCTTTGAGGTTGGAAGACCTTGCCCTGGGGGCCACTTATTTGCATTATGATTCATAGCAGTAGCAAAATTACGTTTATGAAGTAGCAACAAAAATAACCTTATGATTGGGGGCCATCACAACATGAGGAACTGTACTAAGGGGTCGCAGCATTAGGAACGTAGAGAACCACATGATCTAGAACAATGTTCATTATCCCTAGCATTTATTTTGAATGAAATAAAGTAAGCAATAACAAGTATTTATCACACTACAAGGCACACTGACACACAGGAAGTACTCAGAAAGCAACGGCAATGGGAACTATTATCAGAATTGGGGCTAGAATCTATCTGTAAGAAGCCTAGTTCATAGTACTGGTGACCAGTACTATGTCAGATTCTAGTATTCCATCTGAGCTAAACTACATTCTAAACCATCACTTTCTGCTCTTCTATGTCCTTGGGCCCTGGATCTTGTCACTGAAGACAAAGTTGAGGCTATGACTCCATACTGTGAGACCAGTCTCGCGGTCTCCAATCTTAAAGCAACTGATCCTCTCAACGAAGAGGCCTGGACTCCAAGTTATAACAAAGTCAATAAAGAGGACACATTAGATCCAGACTTCTGGTAAACAATCAGCCCCTCGTAACTTTGTCTCTCTCGGCTTCAAAGTCAAGAGTCTAGGGACAACTTTACCATCACACAGTTGGACATTGCTGTTTTCTTAGGTCATGCAGCATCCTGAGGTTTTGAGCTACGCTCCCCTCTTAGTGTGTAAGTTATAGTGGGGTGACATCATTGTATATTTTATGCAAAGTTAAATTCTGGAGCCAGAATTTGCTTTGGAAAAGAGAACTGGAGTGAGTTGGAAGCAAGGGAGACCCTTGTCCCCAGAACATCCCCAGCATCTCTTTTGCAGCCTCACTCTCTGGCTTAAGACTTCTAAATCAGCCCTTCTCCACAAAGACATCCACAAGGCATCCATGATCTCTGAGCCATCTTTTCTCAGAAGCTGTAGCCATAAAGCAACTCACCTTGTTATTTTGATAAGAATCTAATTGGCTCAATGAGACATGGTGGACTGTGTCTTGTTCTATTCTATTATTTTCAGCAGTGTCTAGATTTAAGAGATTATCTTTCTTAAAAGTTAGAGGGGATTTTAAGGCTCCTTTGGTTACAAACTGTAATCTTGGGTATTTGACATCCTGTTTTCACTTTCTTTTCTACAACATGATAAATGGGGAGGGGGGTGGCTATCACTGAGGTGAGTGGCTGCATCTGTCTAGATAAATGCTCTATAAAGGGATCACAAATGAGCAGTCATATTACTGTCAATCATGTAGACGAGACACTTGGTGCCATTCCACTCATGAGGAAAGAAGAACATCGAATATCGTTTTAGATTCCTGGAGTCATTCCGAGATATGCTTGGTTTCTTTTTACACGTAAGCCTCCCCTATCTATCCTCATATAAGGTCAGGGTATCGATAACATGTCTTATGAGAACAACATGTACACTAATCGTATCATCTTCCAGTAAGGCTGAGTTCAAAGCCAAAGCCATGCCCTGCACAACTCAACTCAATCTGAATGATTTTAGAAGAAGGGAAAGTCGTTTATCATAAAGCATTTTCAACTGTTTGAGTAGTTTTCAAAACCACTATATAACACCATGTCTTTTCTCCTATGTGTGTGGCTAGTTGATCTCTGTAACTGTGTTCTCCTTCTGTTTTGGGATTGCCTGTTTGCTATCAGCACTGAGGTCTGTGGATCTGCATGAGACTGGAAAACTGCAACACCAACTCGCCGTGGATCTGGATGAAAAAATCAACATCCAGTGGCAAAAACATGGTTACCCCCTTATTGGCTCATTGGTCTACTCTGTCAAAGAGATAGAGAACATTGCACGGATAATTGACAGAACTGGAGGAGAAAAAAATACGGTCATCGTCATTTCTCTGGGTCAGCATTTCAGACCTTTCCCTATTGACGTTTTTATCCGAAGGGCCCTCAATGTCCACAAAGCTCTTCAGCGTCTTCTCCTGAGAAGCCCAGACACAATGGTTGTCCTCAAAACAGAAAACACCAGGGAGATGACCAGCGACGTGGAAAGACTTAGTGACTTCCATGGTTACACCCAGTATCTCGCCTTAAAGGATATTTTCCAGGGTCTCAATGTGGGTGTCATTGATGCCTGGGATATGACCATTGCATATGGCACAAATGACGTCCATCCACCACAGTATGTGGTTGGAAGTCAAATTAATATATTCTTAAACTATATTTGCTAGGAAGCACATAACTCTGAAAGTCACTCATTGAAGCTCGAAGATATGGTGAATCCTGTTGGCATGCCAGTTACCAGGATGTCCCAGTTAATCCAAGGAGGTAGTCTGGGGCCCATGCAATCCACCCCGTTTAGCCTAACAAGGCCCTAGACTGGGCTTCTGCTTCAGCTGAAGCTAAAAAGAATCAATGAAATGTCCTATCTTTTTTGACCAGAGCCCTGCTGCTCTTCATCAATTGGAAGTTAGGGTTCCTGTGGGTGAGACCTTCTCCCTGCTCCTACAAGTTCAGAAAAATGAAGCAATTTTGTATACAATTTTTTAAAGGTCTTTGATTCCATCTGTAAATATTTTTGTGGAGAATTTTTACATCCATGTTCATCAAGGAAATTGATCTGTGCTTTTTTCTGGGTCATGTCTCAGAGTTTGACATCAGGGTGACACAGACTTCAAAGAATGATTTCGGTAGCATTCCCTCTGTCTGTGATTTGTGGAAGGTCTAAGAAGTGTTGGTTAGGTTTCTTTAATAGTTTCATAGTATTCAGTAGTGAACCTGTCCAGGCCTGGACTTTTCTTTGGAGACCTTTAATTACTGCTTCAATTTCATGGCTTTTTATGGATCTGCTTAAATTGTTTCTATTTTCTAGACTTACATTTTGATAGGCCATATACGTTTAGAAATTTGTCTCTCTTCTAGTCTTTACAGTTTTTTGGAATATAAGATTTTGGATCAACCAAAACAAAATACATACGGAAACACTACCGTGAAACCTAATTTTTGTACGCTGATTTTAGAATAATTAAAAAATAAATAAAATTTTAAAATGGAGAACACATTAAAGTAGGAATGAATAATAGAAAATATTTTAGTGACTTTTTTATTCTTATATATTAAATACAAAATTATAGCTTGCTTTTTCATAAATACATTATAAATTATATATTTTTTTGTCTTTTGGTTTCTTTGAGATAGGGTTTCTCTGTGTAGCCCTGACTATCTGGAACTCAATCTATAGGCCCAGGCTGGCCTTGAACTCAGAGATCTGCCTGCCTTTGCCTCATGAGTGCTGGAATTGAAGGAGTGTGTCACCACTGCCCAGCTTTATCTTTTGAATTTCTGTATTACCTTCATTTATTTGTAGGGGGCTATATGCCACTGTGCGCGTATGGGGGTCAGAGAACTATGTTAGGCTTCATTTCTTCTCCTTCCGCCCTGTGGGTCCCAATGATTGAACTCAGGTTATCAGACTTGGTAGCAAGTGCCTTTACCCACCCAGCCACCTCACTGACGCTAAAGTATAGCTTTTGAAAAGAATAGAGGTGGTTAAAGAGATGCCTCAGAGGTTCTGAGCACTTACTGCTCTCCCAAGGGACCCAAGTTTGATTCCCAACACACACATGGCGAGCCACATTTCCGGGAGACTTGACGCTCTCTTCTGGCTTCCACAAGCACCAAGCATGCATGTGATACATGGACATATATACAGGCAAAACACCAATACACATTTAAAAAATATATTGGCTTTTCTTTTTATTATTATTAATTAGATTTGTTCATCTATTTTACATCTCGACTTAGTTTCCCCTCCCTCTTCTCCTCCCATCCCCTTCTGCCACCTCCCCACATCCATTCCTTCTCTATTTGTGTTCAGAAAGGGACAGGCCTCCCATGGGTGTCAACAAGCATGGCATATCAAGTTACAATAGGACTAAGCTCCTCCCCTTGCCTTAAGGCTGGGCAAGGCAACCCAGTATGAGGAATAGGTTCGTGGAAGCCAGACAGAGCATTAGAGAGAGACCCTGCTCCCACCACTAGGGTCCCACGAGTAAATCAAGCTACACAACTATCACACAAACAGAGGGCCTAGGCCAGTCCCATGTAGGTTCCCTAGGTGTTAATCCAGAGCCTCCGAGCGCCTATGAGCATGGATTAGTTGCATCTGTGGGTTCCCTTATGATGACCCTGACCTTCCTGGCTTGTAAATCTTTCCTCCCCTCTCTCCAACAGGATTCCCCAAGCTCCGCCCAGTGCTTGGCTATGGATCTCTGCATCTGTTTCCATCAGTCACTGGATGAAGGCTCTCTGATGATAATTTGGGGTAGTTACCGATCTGATTACAGGAGAGGGCCAGTTCAGGCACCCTCTCCACGATTGTTAGGAGTCTTAGCTGGGGTCATCCTTGTAGATTCATGGGAGTTTCTCTTGTACCAGGTTTTCACCTGACTCCAAAATACTCTCCCCACCAAGATATCTCTTTCATTACTCTCTCCCTCCATCCACTCCCGCAATCCAATCCCTCATATTCCCGTCCCTGCACGGCCCCCAATCTACCCTGAGAATCTCTTCTATTTCCCCTTCCTAGGGAAATTCCTAAGTCTCTGATTTGGGCCCTCTTGGTTACCTAGCCTCTCTGGGTCTGTGAATTGTAGCATGGTTATTTTAAAAATCAAACTATTTTGCTTGCGTTCAGCAGTTCCAGCAAGATGTCATACCAACTTGCTGCTGTACTTATGAAACAATTCTTTGAATAAAGAGTCTCGTTTCCTTTTCTATGACCAACTATCGCCCTGGGTGATTTTTACATGATAGGCTCTCCCCACCCCTCCACACCTTCCCATCCTCTCACTCCATCCCCACCCTCCCACCTCATCCCCACCCCGCACAGTCATAGAATAGCAGAATACCAAGTGAGGCTCCAGGCTCTCAAAAGTCCTTTGACTGTACTCTCCCGTAGGACCCCTCTCTGTGGGATTTCAGCTGAATCTATAGCCTCATCGTCCAGGAGCAGGAGGTAACAGAGTGCGACACAGTGGGCGGGAGCTCAAAGACTTCGGTCCTGTTACAAGCCATAATTTTAAGACTGCATAAGTCAGGTCACCTTCTTAGACTGTGATTTTCCAAATGAAGGGATGAGTGTAAGAGTCCCAAGCACAAAACATTGTTCTTTGTAGCTCTGGGTGGTCCTGGGGACACTGTTTAGAGACACAGGAGTCAGGGGATGTGTCTGGGAGGCTGAGTACAGGCTTCATCGTGCCTCCTCAACCAAAGTATCAGCCACTTTTACCTGAGTGTGTCAGTCTTCCGGGTGAACTTTGTTTGGAAAGGGTAGTTCTCTACCTTGATATGTTTTGAGAGCTATTTTGATTGCTTGGTTAGCATCCCCTACATGTCTGCATTCACATTTCAACAGTTTGTTTGAGTAGCTGAATAAGACAACGAAATTTTCATCAAAAAATTTCTTCAAAAAAAAAACTAAAAATGTTTTCCTTCAGTACAATATTCTTCTTTAACTCTCCACTATTCACTGAACCTCACTGACCGTAGGACCCTGACTTACTGTACCTGGAAGGAAACAAGCCCAGCGGAACATTGTAAATCTGTAGCCTGGGTCCTTAGGTCAGGAGATAATATGTCCTCTGTACATCTGCCAGCAGCTCATTGTTCACAGTCCAGCGCCCAGTGTACATTCACAGTACAGTGCCCAGGGTCAGAAACACTTATTAGGGCACTATCATGTTCCAGACTCTGTTCTAAACTTAAAGCTAGTGTGAGGGCTGGAGATAGCTCAGCAGTTAACAGTGCTAACTGCCCTTGCAGAAGACCTGGTTCAGCTCCCTATGCCCACATCGGGCACCTCAAAACTGCCTGAAACTCAAGTTCTAGGTGATCTGACACCCTCTTCTAAGGACACCCACACACCCATGGTGCACATAAACCCATGTAGATGCACACACCTACAAATAAAATGTTTTTACTTGTTAGGAAAAAAAAATAACTGAAATATCTCCCGTTAAGTCTTTACCAGTTACAGTAGGGTCAGGGTGATTAATAAAAAAAAAATATAAAACGTTATGTAATGATTAAAAGCAAAGATCTATGTCATCTATGTTTGACGCTACACTGTTGATATCTGACCAGAATAAATTTGACTCAGTGAGTTTAAAAAAAAAAAGCATGAAGCTGAGGATGGGAGGGGTCAGTGGATCAGGGAGGAGTTGGTCCTGAATATGATCAGAACACGTGTATTCATGTATGAATTATTAAAAACAGTACCTTGTCAAAGCATATTGTGGACTAGTGTGTTAGAATGTTTATGGCACTGACTAACGAGTTAGAGCAATGTCTCGGAAAAGATTTCAAGTAGTCTGGCAAAGAGGCAGCCATTAGAGAAATGGTAAAGAGAGACCGAGGGAAGGAAGCCCTCCAAAACCTGACTTTTGCAGGAACTGCCCAGGCTACTGGGGGAAATTTGTCACTAGTAGTTCTACTTGACTGATGACTCCTCTGCCACACTCTCAATCTGCCAGATAAGAACTGTCCTCTGGGGTAATCGTGGCATGAGTCATGGGCATCACAAACAGCTCACTCAGACCTGCTCCCCAGGAGAAACTTCTTTTTTTTTTATTGAAAAAAATTTCCACCTCCTCCCAGCCTCCCATTTCCCTCCCCCTCCTCCCACTTCTCTCCCCCTCCCCCCACTCCTCTCCCCCTCTCTCTCCAGTCTGAAGAGCAGTTAGGGTTCCCTGCCCTGTGGAAAGTCCAAAGTCCTCCCCCTTCCATCCTGGTCTAGGAAGGTAAACATCCATACTGGCTAGGATCCCACAAAGCCAGAACATGAAGTAGGATCAAAACCCAGTGCCATTGTCCTTGGCTTCTCATCAGCCCTCATTGTTCGCCATGTTCAGAGAGTCCAGTTTTATCCCATGCTTTCTCAGTCACAGTCCAGCTGGCCTTGGTGAGCTCCCAACAAATCAACCCCACTGTCTCAGTGGGTGGGTGCACCCCTCGTAGTCCTGACTTCTTTGCTCATGTTCTCCCTCCTTCTGCTCCTCATTGGGACCTTGGGAGCTCAGTCCGATGCTCCAGTGTGGGTCTCTGTCTCTATCTCCATCCATCACCAGATGAAGGTTCTATGGTGATATGCAAGATATTCATCAGTATGGCTATAGGATAGGGTCATTTCAGGTTCCCTATCCTCAGCTGCCCAAGGAGCTAACTGGGGACATCGCCCTGGGCACCTGGGAGCCCCTCTAGGTCCAAGTCTCTTGCCAACCCTAAGATGGCTCCCTTAATTAAGATATGTGATTCCCTGCTCCCCTATCCAACCTTCCTTTCTCCCAATCATCCCGTTTCCCCAAGTTCCCCCCATTCTCCCCTTCTCACTTTTCTCTCCCCATCTCCCCTTATCCCCCTCCCACCCCACCCCCAAGATCCCAATTTTTTGCCCGGCAATCTTGTTTACTTCCCATAACCAGGAGGATAGCTATATGGATTTCTTTGGGTTCACCTTCTTATTTAGCTTCTTTAGGATATCAAATTATAGACTCAATGACCTTTATTTATGGCTAGAAACCAATTATGAGTGAGTACATCCCATGTTCCTCTTTTTGGGTCTGGGTTACCTCACTCAGGATAGTGTTTTCTATTTCTATCCATTTGCATGCAAAATTCGAGAAGTCATTGTTTTTTACCGCTGAGTAGTGCTCTAATGTGTATATATTCCACACTTTCTTCATCCATTCTTCCATTGAAGGACATCTAGGTTGTTTCCAGGTTCTGATGCAGGGAGCCAAGGCAAAGACCTGTGGCTGGGGAGAGCAGGGGCCTCCGTGACGAGGAACAAAGAGGCTCTGTGGCATCCTCTCAATCTCCTTCATCTTCAGGGTCCTAACTGGAGGTTTAAGTTTAAACAGAAGGGCAGAAAGCCAAGCAGTCCCAGTCGAGGTAAGATTCCACCCATCATTATTTGGCTTCAGTGTCCCTTACAAGTGGCTTGATCAGTTGTCAGAACTAAGTGATATATTTTAATAGAAGACACTGTCTTCCTCTGAATGACACCATCTTTCCTTATCCTAGCATAAGGTTTCTGGAAAACTCCAATTTCTTAGGAACATCTGTTACAATAGTCTTATAGCTAAAAGGGGAGGCACAAGAATCTCTTTAAGATGCCTGCATTCCTGCCAGCATCCTTCCAAAGTCATCTTCTAAAATGCTGTTCGTACCCGTAGATTGCTAGTGCCATTAGCCTACAGCAGCAGCAGAGGGAAACCTCACCTCTAGAGAGGGTACTGGTTACTGCAGACACTCCCCCAGGCACACTGGTTATGACTGGTGACTGTTAATGTGGTCCACCACTCAGTTGTAAATGGAAGAAAATAATCAGAAATCTATTTCACCACCTCCAAGACCTAAGAAACATTGCAGAAGAGGAATGGACTAGAGTCACTGGGCCTGGAGGGCCTTCTGCCAACCATCTGTAGCAGAACAAACTGGAAGACAGAAGTCGATGGGGAGGGTGGTTTCATTCAAGTTCAACTGAGGCAACAAGGTAGTAAAATATCTGCCTTCCAGAACAGATTCAAGACTGCTGCCTGAGATGATCAAGCCTCACAAGGATACTCTAGTCATGACTTGATCATAATTTAAATTTTTTTAGGTCCCCATAAGGTTATCGGTGCCCCAAATCATCAGGAAGTAGTCTGGAAAACTATGCCCACATTCCAAAAAAATGGATTATGGATGTTTGCCTTTGTTTAGACTGTTGACTACAAGTTGTTATGGATAACGGTCAGGAGAAAAGCTAAACAAAGAAGAGTTGATTCTGAGTTCTTGTTTAAAAATAAGAGGGGAGGAAGTGCTATGGGACAAAGGTTTGTGTCCTGTCAAATATATTTTAATAAAATGCTGGCCAGTAGCCAGGCAGGAAGTAGAAGCAGAGCAACAAGAATTCTGGGAAGAGGGAAGTTTGAGTCTGCAGTCATGACCCAGCTGCAGAGGAATCAAGTTGTGACTCCCTCTCCAAAAAAGGCACCAAGCCACGTGGCTAACACAGACAAGAATTATGGGCTAATTTAAGTTATTAGTTAATAAGAAGCCTGCGCTAATGGGCCAGCTTATAATTAATGTTAAAAAAAAGAAAAAAGAAGTTATCTGCCTTGCAGAAAAGTGTTTCCTGTTTTCAAACAGGGACATCATCTCGAGAGTATTAAAGGGATGGTGGGAGGGAGACTCCTGCACTTGGAGAAGTTGAGTCCTTGCTTTGAGAAGTTCTTTTTAATTTTTAAGATTATAATTGCATGTTTCTCCCTTCCTTTCCTCTCTCCAGCCCTGCCCATATATCCTTTTTTCAAATTCAAGGCTTTACTTTCCATTGAGTGCTATCTATTGTATTCCTAAACATAGCCTGCTTAGACTGTACAATATTATATATTGTATTTCAAGACAGTCTATGCAATGCTGCATGTGCGTATTTTCAGGACTGACCATTTGGTATTGGATAACCAATTGGCTGATCTTCCCTGAGGACGACCATTTTTTCCACTCCCAGCATTTTTTAGTGGCTTAGGTTTCTTTCTGTAGGGTTGAGGCCTCATGGACTCAACATGCCATCCATTGTGTTGTGTCCATCGGTGTCCTTCCTTGTTCAGTTCATATTTGGACAGCTATGTTGATAAGATTTTATGAGTGTAAGTTTTGACATTACTAGGAGACACAGTCTCAGAGTGGACTCCCTGATCCTCTGACTCTTAAAATCTTTCTAAATATTTCCACTCTTCTAGAATGTTCACTGAGCCTTTGTTAGGGGGAGCTGTGTTGTAGATGTATCCCCTGGGACTGGGCTCCACAACTCTGCGTTTTGATTAGTTGTGGTTTTCTGTAATGGTCTCCATCTGATGCACAGAGAAGTTTCTTTGATGAGGAGTGAAGACTACCCTTAACCTGTGTGAGTAAGAACAAGCATTTACAGATTGTTGTTAGGGATGATGCTGGTTAGTAAAGTAGTGGTTGTAGGTTCTCTTCATCAGCACTGAGTAATTGGCTAGGTTTCCAGTACCAAACATGGCTTCCTTCTTGTTGAGTGGGCTCTTCCAAACAGTTAGAGTTGTTGGTTGCTGCCAAGGTATGTGAGCCACTACTGTACCCTTAGGGTTACAGTGCCAGCCTGGTTGTTGTGGTAGTTCATGGACATCAATGGGGCAGGACCATTGGTTGTTTGCATCCTTTGGAAGGACAAAGCTTCTTCTGGAACTAGAAAAGCTGTTCCTCTAGGAGGTCAGTCCCAGCTCAGGGGCCTCTGGGCCTGTTTCTGAAATGCATGGTGTCTTCAGCAGTGGGGATTTATCTTCTTCCTCTGGGGAGTAACCAAGGACAACAGCAGTAGAGTGTGTGTTTTGGGAGTCTCTTTGACAGTCCTGGCCAACAACTCAAAAGAGAGCTCCTCATGTCTGGTGTTGGGGTTTTTGTTAGGTGGTCTTTGGCTCTTGGAGGGAGCGTTGTCAGTCGAAATGAGAAAAATTAATTTCAACTATGTATCTTTATTTATATACAAAATTATGTGTATTATAGGGTTTTTTAAGATAGATCGTTAATAGTGTGATTTCTTATGACTTGCTCAGATCTCTTTATTGTTACTTCACTTCCCCCTCCTTCTTTTGTACTTACTTGTTGGAATCCAGATGTTTACTATGCAAGCAGTTCATTACTCAAGCACAAATTCTGACCTAGCTAAGGCATGGTGACTGAAGAAAAAAAAAGCAAACAAAAAACAATGGGTAGATCTAAAGTTCAGGGGAATGCCCTTGGGACAAAACCAAGCCACAAAGGCAGCAAAGTGCAGAAGGAAGAACTCAGGAAAGGGGGTTAAAGGCACCGCTTGCTCAAGTTCTGCTGCTAGTGCTCTCCCTAGTAGCCGCCAAAGCGATATATAAGCAGCAATGGAAAAAATAAAAAGCTATTCATTCTTCAAGCGAACCCGGAATCTTGCGTCTCTGTCTACTATTGTCTGTGGTGCTCAAGGCTGCACTGGCCAGGGAATTTTCCCCTCTACCCCTTCCCTAAAATCCTCCCCATGCTGTTTTCCATTTCCTGGATCAGATTCTTCCAGCAGTCCTTTGAATGATATATAGGACAGGAATTTTTGCTGAAATTCTCCTTCAAGCCAGACCTTCTCCGTGTCCCTGTGGGGGACAGGGAGTAGGTTAGACCCTCACCAGGCAGTCAGGATGGATGCCAAGAACTCTATAGGCTTCACTGCTGAGGTGACAGCTTGCTTCTTGGTGACAAGTGCTGCCGGTTAGCATGTGACTTCGTTTTATCCACAAACTGAAGAAGTAAAAGAGTTCAGAGCAAGCAAAAGTTAACTTCATTACAAGCATTACAGACACCACCCCAACCCCAAGGGAGACGAAGGACTGCAGAGCTAGAAGACTCTCGGAGGCGGGGCTGAGTTTTTATGTATATTTAGTACACTCCCCCCCCCCCCCCCAGTTTGGTAGCCCTTCCTACTCTCATTCATACTGAACTTAAAGCATTCAAGGGTCTCTTTTGGTGTAGCTATTAGGTTCCTTGCTTCTGTCCACAAACATTGCTAGCATCTGTCACCAAATCAAGGTGGATCTCTAGCCTCCCCTTCCCCATTTTGAGTGTTGTAATGACTTGAGAAAGAAAATACCTTAAAAAGCAAAACCAAACTTAATACAGAAAAAGGGAAATGGTAAGTCATCTCTTTCTTGTCTTTCTTTCCCTCGGCTCTTATGTGCTCTGATCTTGCTCTGCTCCCTTGTCTGTGCTCTCCCGCTCTCTCTTCTCTCTCCGCCTCCCTCTTTCCCTCTCTCTCTTCCTTCTCTCTCCCTCTCTCTCCTCCCTCTCCCTCTCCCTTTTCTTCCCCCGCCCTTGCTCTTCTTTCCCCTTTGTTCAATAAGCTTTTGCCACATTGCACAAATACAAAGCTCTCATTGCTAACTACATTAATTTTGCAAGTTCAAACAGGACAAAGAAGAAGGGAGTACCACACATCTCCGCCAGGACAACTAAATCACTAAGTGGAAAAGGAAACAGCTATTACAGATGGGTGCAAGGGAGGAAGGTGAGTTTGACAGAGCTTCATTCCAAAGAACGGCTGCTTCCTCCACGTGCTTTATTTTCACTTTATTTTTTCTACAATATTTGAGTTGTTCTGCTACAAAGTGTCGTGCATCTATTTCCTTCACATTAAAACCTTCCTTCCTAGAAGGGAGTTCCTAGGACTCGGGACCAGAATCTTAAAATGTTCTAGAATCTCAGAAAAGCTGCAAGACTGCAAGGCTCCTCACAGAAGTTATAAAAAGCAATAAACAACTGGTGACCCAGTGGAACTTCCTGCAGGTTGGGCCAGAGAGCTCCTGGGACTCACTGTAAGCGAGTCATCACGCATGCTGCGGTGGGCTTCCCAGTGACGCAGCTGTCTTTGAGCCACCCATGTTCTTTCCTGTAAGTAACCCACTTAGGATACGGGTTCTCTTGGAGTTGGGAGGGGCTGTGTCTTTACTGCTCTCCATGCAGTATCTGGCATGAGCAGATGTTTATCACATCTACCGGGAAAAGTCCCACGATAAATATCAGTACTATTTCTCTGCAGTTGGTCATACGGCTTAGTTCGGGTTTTCTCGAGTAGTATCATCCTGATGGGGTATATGTGAGTACGCCGTGGGACCTTGGGATGTGAGAAAGCTCAGTGTGGTCTCGGATCGTTCTGAAAAACTTTCTAAAAGGAGGGAGTCGTCCTGCTGGACTAGAAGGTTGTCTTCTTGAGTCAGAAAAGCGGTGGCATCTTTTTAAAGGTTGTCTTTGGATGTTTTGCTTTGTGAGTGTGTTTAATACACACGAAGAACTGTGGGGAAGATGTACCGTGCTGTTACTTCCTCCGCTAGACCCTCTCGCCTTGGCCGAGAGCCTGATGCGGAGGGAGTGATCTGAATGCTAGATTAACTATATTTTAACTAGTAATTCATATTAATGTCCATGTTATTCAGATACAGAATTACATAGTCAGCTGAAATAAAATTTTATTAGGGATTTTTTTTATGGGATTAAGTGAGAGATCGTTTGTTATCTACACACGATGAACTACCTGGACCTAGGGTTCAAGTAGATACAGTTTAAAACAGAGCGGACAACAAGACAGAGACATGTGCTTCCGAAAATGACTGCATTAATTTATATTCTCACTAACAATAGGGTGGGTCGTATTGAAATTGTGACTTATGCTATGGCTTGGTTGAATTTCAGACAGCAGTGGTAATATGATTTGACTTTAGAAAATACATTAGTATAATCCATCACACCTGAAAAATGCATTTTAAAAGATTATATAACTACCCTGATGAATCAGAAAAGACCTTTCAAGGTAGCTCAACTTCTAGCAGCGTTAAAAACAGAAAACTGTTTCTTTTAGGGCACCTCCTTCATCAAATAGAACATACGGAAAGAGCAAATACTGCATATTAGACACCATGCATGTGTTCGTGCACATCTGGTGAAGGTGAGACAGATGTGGTATTCAATAAGTCACTCAGATTGTCTCTGCTCTCTGAAGGCTGCTCCTGGGAAATCCTACAAAAATAAACCACAGGTTTCTGTATATCAGCCACAAGGATTTATTTTAAAATTATATATATTGCGAGAGAGAGAGAGAGAGAGAGAGAGAGAGAGAGAGAGAGGAGAGAGCCAATCATTATCAACTGGCAATAGGGAGGTGTCACTAGCTCACATCACTAGCTGGAGAGCTGCTGGGAGAAGGAGATATTGAGATATTGTTTACTCTAGGGTGTGGTCTAAGAATCTCTGAGATGGTCCCACACCCATGAGTTTGTGTGTGGTATTGCACTCAGAGGGTCCCAAAAATAAAATTAAATTAAAAACAGGACATGAAGTTGGAAGAGGAATCAGGGTGGATCTGAAAGGAGTGTGGTGACGTAATGTGAGAGCGACTAAGATAAAAACATGTTATGTGCACAATGAAATTCTCAGCAAATTAAGAGATGCATGGATTTTTAATTAGTTGCGAATTATATATTATTATATTGTATGTAAATATAATGTATAATTATTTGTGTGTATATATATTGTGTGTATATATATCTATATATAGATATACAAATATATATTCAGAAAAGTGGCTCGCTGATTAAGAACACTTGTCCCAGGGTTCAATTCCCAGCATCCACATGGTGGCTCACCACCATCTGCAATTCCAGTTCTAAGCAAACTGATATCTCCTTAGGCACCATGCATGCAAGTGGTATACAAATACACATGCAGGAAAAATACTTATACACATAAAACTAAAAATTAAATATACATATACACTGAATGAACATATATACACAAATAAACATACATACATATGTGTATATAGTATATACCTACATATGTAGGATTTATGTTTCCAAAACTCTTAAACTAATTTATAACTTCCTCATAAAAACAAATGAAAAAAACTGAATAAATTTCTTTTCAATCAGACAGAAGCATCAGAAAACAACCAAGACAGTGGAGACCAGAGACATCTAGATTCTAGAAAAAAACAGACAAAAACATAGTAATTAGGGTTTTAAAAGGAAAATGAAGTAACACCTTTAAAGACACTTTAAATATGTCAAACACTTGACAATACAGAATTACACTCAGCAAAAATAACACTCAATATAAAAATAAAATAAATTGGTAAGACTATGTCACCAAAAGTTTTAAAATTAAATTTAAATTTTAAAATGTAGGTAGATGTTAAGTAGAAGAAAAATTATCCCTAAATGATAAAACAAAAATGTAAGAAAGAATGAAAAATGAGAAGCTGAATGAGTAAGCATTGTGGTGGTGGTGGTGGTGTGTGTGTGTGTGTGTGTGTGTGTGTGTGTGTGTGATCTAACAAATAAAACTCACCTGAAGATCAGAGTGCAGAGCTAAGGCACTTGTTAGCCATAGAGGCCAGGCAGTGGTGGCACACACCTTTAATCCCAGAACTCGGGAGACAGAGGCAGAGGGACATCTGTGAGTTCAAAGCCACCCTGGGCTACATGGGATTGAATCATTCTAAAAGAGAAACAGAGCTCACACCTTTGATCCCAGCACTTGGAATCACATGCCTTTAATCCCAGCACAAGGGAGGGAGAGACAGGAGTGATATGGCTGGGCAGAGAGAGGAATATAAGGCAGGAGGACACAGGAGCTCAGATGCAGTCTGAAGATTCAGTCTGAGATGCAGTCTGAGGTTTCATGGAGACAGCAGCAGTCTGAGGATTTTAGAGCCAGGATTGCCCATTCAGTTGGAGCATCGGCAAAGGAAAGAACTCTCTAGTGGTTAGCTGCTCTGCTTCTCTGATCTTCATCATTAACCCTTATATCTGACTCTAGGTTTTTATCATTAAGGCCAATTAGAATTCATGCTACAAAGCATTCTACAAAAATAACAATTTATAGTATATAAATAATAATAACTTTAAGATTCAAATACCTGGCAATGCTAACAACAACTAACGTGGGAGATAATTCAATGCAAATGGAGTATAATTTTATAGGCTCCTTCACTTTCTGGGAAGTCTTTAAGTGTGAATTTATTTTTGAAACTAAGGGCTAAAGAGATGGCTCAGGAGGTAAAGCCATTTGCTTCTGAGCCCGATGCCCTGAGTTCCGTTCCTGGAACCAACATTAAAAGGAAAGAACTGACTCTCCTGCAGATTGTCTTCTGGGAGGCTAAGAGGTGGCTCAGTGGTTAAGAGCACTGGCTGTTCTTCCAGGAGTCTGGGTTCAATCTCCAGCACCCACATGACAGCTCACAGCTGTCTGTAGCTCCAGTTCCAGGGGATCTGACCCCCTCACACAGACATTCATGCAGGCAAAACACCAAAGCACATAAAGTAACAGTAAATTATTTCTAAAAAAACAAAGATATCTTCTGTCCTCTACATTCACAGTGGCATGAGAGCTCCCATGTGTGCACACGCATCACATACAAAACATACACAGAGACGGGGAGGAGAGAGAGAGAGAGAGAGAGAGAGAGAGAGAGAGAGAGAGGCTAAAAAAGTGAAGTCTAAGGAGTGTGTTGTAATCTCTCAAACAAACTAGAAATTCCTTAAGCATTCTGGCCATCCAAATCATTTGGGAAAATAGAATAATTTTAAACCCTGAGTAACAGAGAAAAGTCAAGAAGGGAGAAAGGAATATAGACAGAGAGGACAAATAAATCCAAGTAGGAAAACAAAGGAATGCAGGTGGGTTGATAAAATGCGAGAAACTCAGAAAGCTCCCGGTAGGAAAAATGAGTTGTTTGTGTGGGACTAATGTGTCCCATAGAAAACTTTTGAAAACATAGATTAAAATTTTTAAATTGCTTTGAATACATTTAAAGATGGTAAAAAAAATAAATTAAAATTAAAAATTGGCAGACCCTGGAGGAAGCTGGGTCCCTGAAGAAGGAATTCATGCTGGTGGGAGCTACATGATTTGATTTTCCCCCCTACCAACTAACCAGTGTCCATCAGTCATGGTCCCTACAGAGAGAGAGAGAGAGAGAGAGAGAGAGAGAGAGAGAGAGAGAGATTATTTGTAGGATATATTCATAAAACGAAACCCTGTTCAGTAATGAAAAGGAACAGAGAACTGGCAAATGCCACAATGATGACAGATTCTCAAACGCAGTCCACTAAAGAGTATTTTACAAGCTGAGTATTTGGGCACACTCTTAAATTTATCGCTTAGATGGCAAAGGCAGATGAATCTCTGTAGGTTTGAGGTCAGCCTGGTCTACATAGCAAGTTCCATGCTAACCAATACTATATAGTGAGACTGTTTGTCTCAAAAAACAAACAAAAAGGGACTGGAGAGATGGTTCAACAGTTAAGAGCACTGACTGATCTCCCAGAGAACCCAGGTTTGTATCTCAGAACCCAGGAAGTAGCTATCTGTAACTCCAATTCCAGAGGATCCAACACATAGCTCTGGGCTCTATGACTACTGCATACACATGGTACCCAGACTACCAGGGACACACACACACCACACACACAAGTATATCATGCTAGTTTTGAGTTCAGTAGCTACACAGACGAAAACGCTTCTCAGCATTCTTAGTACTGTGTATTTGATGCATGTATGTTTATTATATGTCAATTACACCCTACTGAAATGTTATAGCTTTTTTTAACCAGGGCAGTGTGTAAACAGTAAGTTGGAAATACCGCTTTACCAGGCAGCAATAGTAACAGCAAGAAAAGGAGCACTAATAAAAAAAAAAGACACTAACCTCCAGATAAAGACAAACAGCCTTCACTACCAGGTGTAGCAAGAGGAAGTGGGTAGCCAAACAGCAGCAATTGCAACAAGAAAATACAGTTTCTCCTCTTGTAACTATCCACTTAGATTCTCCCCTTGAGCGCATGTGGACCCTCCCCTGAAATGAGCAGACAGTGAAGCTCTCTTTTCACTAAGCC